GGGAATCTTGGGCTCAGCAGTCATTAAAGCACCCCAGTGACCCATCAGCCACGCATGGCTACCGAAATCCACTGTACTTGAAGCTAAGTGAACGCTGAGCCACTTGTCACCTCTGCCAGCCTTCGGGTGCTCACTGCCCTGGGAGACCAGCAGGCCACAGTGGAGCTGTTGACATCTCTGTAGAGGGCTCTAGCTGCCAACTGTTGGTCATGCCCCATTCAGGGACATGAGCAGACAGGACTTCAAGCAGCACATGGAAATGGGTGTTAGGGAAAAGCAACGTGTAGATGTCGCAATGTTTGGTCCCAGAAGAATTCCTCAAACACCCGATGTTCCCTCTCGTGTGTGCACTCTGTGGGGCATCTTCCACTCAGGCCACTTGCTGCATCCTGCACCGGTGCCTTTAACCACCAGGTCACAGGTCAGCCACAGGCATGGCAGGTCTGTTGCAGGCAACCTCATCCTCGGTTCTCACCATAGTAACCAGCCATGAGCATCCTTGGGCCCCGCATCTCTGTGCATTTCCCCAGCTCTGCTGACACAGGCTCACAGGCCCCATCGTGAACCTGCTGACACAGCCTTGGCCGGGCCAGGCTTTACAGGAGCCCCGGGAACTGCAGCGTCCAGCCCTTTTTTATAGCCTGCTAAACCAGACAGTCGCAGCGCCTGTAGACACAGAACCCCAAAGCCAGGCCAACAGCTTCCTTCCCAACAATGGTGTGTTCTGAACCTGGCCACATGTTCCCTTTATGAGCAACCCCCTCCTGGGTGCCCGGCCCCGCCAGAGGCGCCAAAGCCGTGGAGGGTCCGGGAGCCGTCTCCTGCCTGTGAGCACACAATGCAGCCCTTGTGGCTGTTCGGGGGTGGGGGCGTCTGCGGCTGCGCACACACTGGCCCTGAACTGTCGGCACCATCTTTCCTGTTGGAGGAGGCGAAAACTGGGTGCGCAGACGGCATGGAGAATCAGTCGCACCCCAGCTGGTGGGGTTTTTGTCCTTAAGGTAACTCTGCAGTCGCTCAGCCGGGAAGGAAGTGTGAAACCAAGGCCTGGCTCAGCTGCTGGATGCTCATCCAGCTGTCAGGCCACGGCATCGGTACAGCTCCCGGCTCTGCCTGCGGCCTCCAGTCCCCCTGCAGCTCACCCTCCATGGGGATCAGTGGACAAGCCACCCTGCCCACAAGCAGAAGAACCTTTGCTCACAAAGCTCCAGCTGCCTCCAAGACAGGGTCCTGTGTGTTGGCTGTGACTAGCTAAGACTGCAGGGAGTGGGAGAGACACTTCCAGGAGCTTCAGTCAGGGTCCTGCTTGGGCCAGGTGAAGTGCCCACCTGGCCTGCGGCCAGCGCAGCTCCTGCCCCCAGGGAGGCAGTTGACCCTCTGTGGTGTCTGAGTGTCTGCACCTGTGTTTGGGCCCACCCTCAGGGAGCGGATGGAGGAGAATAGCGTCTGTGCCTTCCCCTCCTGGCCGCTGGCCACTGGTCTCAGTCCCTGGACTGCGTCTGGCCCGGAACCCTCAGCAGACACCAGCAGATACCTCAGGGAAGTTTCAGGGGGCCTGGTTGACTGGGAGCTTAGGTTTCAGGCACAGCTGGGCTGGTGGGGCAGGGACAGGTGCGGGGAGCTAGGCTTGTGGCAGACAGCAGGGGGCCGGGCCTTGGGGTGTGCCTGCCCCTGGGGGCAGAAAACCTACTCCACTTGCTCTTCTATTCTTTGGAAAGACAAAAGACATAAAAGCAAGATTCAGCCAATAAGCTTCCCTGTTTTTCTTTGCTTTGTTTTCAAAAACACCAGAAAACGATCCCCTATGACTAAGCAACTAGCCTTCTCCAAAAAGATATGGGGGAGTCCACCACTTGCAGAGTTTCCTGCCCGCCCTGCCAGGCTGGAGCGCTAGAAATGGCACGGAACAGATGCAGGACAGACAGTGCCCAGGAAGCCTGGCAGATGAGGCGGGACACTCGGTCTCTGGCTTCTGTCCTTTTCTAGAAGCCGACAGCAGCTCTGTGATGGACACAGGGTGGTGATGGCATGGCACGCCCAGGGAGGGAGCCCTCACACCCCCCACTTGCTCCCCTGTACCCAACTGGCATTTCTGGAATCAGATTTGACCTTTATTTCCTAACACCATGTCTTCTTGGGCCAGCCACTTGTTTCTCTGCTTCTTGAATTAAAGAAAAAAAGGGGGGGTGGGGCTTAAACCTCCCTGTGCAGTAGGCCCGGGGTACTATTTTTAGAATGAGCAGCCAGACTGGCGTGGATTGGGATTGGAGAGGGGCGGGGCTGTGGAGCCACGGTCTTGGCCTCATTCCTCTGGGGGCTGACCCCTCCTCCCACAGCCTTCCCAGGGCTGCAGCGTGGGAGGTGACAGGCTCCAGGGCTCCTGAAAGGCATGGACACAGCATCTGTTGGCCCTGCCCATTGGCCCCAATCACTGTGCCTTGACGGGGCGGGGATACGAGGTACACAGTTCACAGTCCCCGCCCGGAAGTCTGGTGTCCCACATTGCACCCTCCCTACCACATGCCTGACATAATGGCTTCTCTGCCTCGTGCTTCCTCTTCTGTTCTGACAGTCAAATCCACGTCACGTCTCATGGCTGCTCTGCCACCTCACAGATTCACACACAAGGCAACCCCTCTAGGTCCAGCAAGGCCCGAGGGGGTTGCCCATGACCCTCTGAGTATGAACACTCACTGTGCCAGGGACCTGGGGGCAGCACAGAGCTCATCATATTGATGCCACAGGCAGACAGGATGGGAACGTGGCTGGGAAGGCTGGTATGCTGCCCCCCTGGGGGAGAAACAGGGTGGGCACACACACCTGCATCCAAGTGGCTGCGTGGGCACTTCCGCACTTGCAGCAGGGCAGTGACAGGGGGAGAACTCACCTTGTCCTAGAAAATCATGCAGCAAAGATCCAGGACCAGCTGTCCACCCCACCCAGAGCGGAAGAGCAAGTTCAGATGCCTGCATCCCTCATCAGAGTGCCAACCCCCACATCTGGCTCCAGGTCCTGGTCACAACTTCCTGCCAAGGCCAGCGCTGGGGGCAGCAGTGATGAGAAGGTGACTGGATTCTTGCACGCCCCCCCCCCACCATCACAGGGAAGATTCCAACCAAGATCCTGGCTGCCGGCTGCCACCGGGCACAGCTCTGTGGGCACTCGGGGAGTGAGGGAACCAGAGCACAGATCCTGGCTGCCAGCTGCCACCGGGCACAGCTCTGTGGGCACTCGGGGAGTGAGGGAACCAGAGGACAGAGGCTGGTGCTCTCTCTACCTGTCAATCTCAAATGTTTGGTTAAAAAAGTTCAATTTGTACGAGGCTGCAGATCTGGAGGAAGTGGTTTGCTGCCCTGGAGTGTTTTTCCCGATGACAACTGATACATACACAGATCGTATGGCATCAGTAAAGGATGCACCAAATTGTCTGCGGAAAATGGAATTAAAAGAAAGGTTTACTTTAGTCCAGAAATTTTAAAGATCCATGCGTATAGGGGATTTTAAGGTCATAGAAGATCTCAGCACGGTGGCCCAATGGCTAACTCCTCACCTCACGAGTGCCAGGATCTTATGGACATCGGTTCATGTCCCAGCTGCTCCATTTCCCTTCCAGCTCCCTGCCTACGGCCTGGGAAAACAGTTGAGGACACCCAAAGCCCTGGAGCCTTGCACTCATATGGAGACCAGGAAGAAGCTCCTGGTTCCTGGCTTCAGAGTGGCTCAGCTCTGACCATTGCTGCCACTTGGGGAATGAACCATTGGATGGAAAATCTTTCAGTCTTTTTCTCTTCCTCTCTGTAAATCTGCCTTTCCAGTAAAAATAAATCTTTAAGTAAATGTCATAGAAAGTGCACGTTGTTTAAAAATTGCGTGGATTTTAATTTTTGCAAGAAAGGAAGAAGAGCCACCTTGTTTTAATTCCATTTTCCATGAGCTCCTTGAAGCCCCTCATGTGGGTCGCGACGATGCTTCCTGTGTTCAGCAGACACCTTCCGTTACAGCGTGAGCCTGCGCGGCTCCTCCCTCCGCTCCCCTCATCCACACCCGCCAACACAGCTGTGACCAAGGACAGGCAGTAAGAGCTGAGCGGCTCTGGTCAGGCTGGGGCAACGCGCAGCAGCACAGCCTGCTACACAACAGCCTGGGACTCCTCCACAGTTCGAGGCAGAGGTGCCTGTGGCCTGGCAGGCCTACCCCAGGGATCTACCCAGGAGAAATAAAAACAGGCCTACAGAGAGAGGCTGAGTAAGAGAGAGCTACGGCGTTATCCCCAATACCCAAGCAGCAAAAGCAGCCCCAACACCACCAAGGTGATGGGGAGACACTGTGGCATGTGGGGGAACAGTAGGAAGCGGGGCATGCCAATGCATGCCACATCCCAAATGAGCCCTAACATCATCTCAGAAGAGCCCGCATGTCCCACGATTCCCGTTATGGGAAGTGTCCAGCGCATACCCGACCTGGGGATGCAGGAGGCCCCGTGGCTGCCATCAGGTTCAGGGTTTCTTTTGGGGCCAGTGAAGTGGCTGTCAGGTTGGCTGTAGTGGCCACAAAGCTGTGCAGGTGTAAGTTAGAGCTCAGCTTAGGTGAGAAGCCTCCAGGCAGCAGCCAGGGGCAGGCTACCTGTGGGGGAACAAGTGTGGGCACGAGATGAGCATGGTGGGACATTCAGGGGGCCAAGAAGTGAAACAGGGAGGGAGGGAAGCCAGGGGTGCAGTGGGTGACAGCAGGCCTGCAGGGGAGGACACTTCGGAGCTGTCCCCCAGCGAGATTGTTCCGGCAAGTGTCCAGGCTCCAGCATGTCCACCAAGCTTCCTGTGCAGCTGCGTGTGCCACTGCAGCCAGAGAATGCCAGCAAGACACGGGCTGACAGGCAGGCACGTGGGTGCTGGAGGCATGCTTGGCTACCTTGTACGAGGTTCAAGCGCGGCACCCCAGGGTGGCTGAGCCGAGCGGGGAGGGCTGCTGCACCTGTGCCTACACTCCCTCCTCTGTTTCAGGCTGCGACTCCCCAGTTAACCTGACACCCCACAAGTCCAAGGCGGCCGTGGACGAGCTCTTCGCCACACTGCGGGACGTGGCCGGGGCACGGCGTCTCATGAAGCAGTTCAAGTCTGTCCATGTCCCTGGAAGTCACGCCCATCAGGCAAGTGCCTGCCCTTTCAAAGTGGGGGGTTGGAGGGAGTTCCCCAAGCTGCCGTGCGCTCAGAACTCAGACCACGGCTGCCCCTGGAATTCTGGTCGGCGTCCAGGTAAGGACCAGGTTCCCTCTAGGGCTCTGCTGGGTCTTGGAGCAGATGGGAGCACCAGGCTGCCACAGGGAGCAGTCCAGGGAGGGCCACGCACCTGTCCCACAGCCTTGGGCCACAGCCTGTGCTCGGTTTACTCCAGGTCCCCAGGCTAAGGCCCCACATGGTAGATTAATCGACGCAGCCCAAGTAGACGCTGATCGCTGATCGATGCAAACAGTAAATGCACCCTGTAGCATGACAGCAAGGAAGAGGGCTCTGTGGCCCCGCTGCTGCCAAGGTCAGGGGCGTGACCCCGCCACTGCAGATTTTTCCTTCAAACTCTGCTCTTCAGCCCTGCTGTGCCAGCAGACACCTATACGTCCATCCAGCTTCGTGCTGGGACTCTGCAGAATCCCACTTGGGAAAGCCCAAAGCCAGGCCACCCCGGGCTCCTGTCCCCGGGCTGGCCTGTGCTGCACACCTGGGCTCCTGTCCCCGGGCTGGCCTGTGCTGCACACCTGGGCTCCTGCCCCCGGGCTGGCCTGTGCTGCACACCTGGGCTCCTGCCCCCGGGCTGGCCTGTGCTGCACACCTGGGCTCCTGCCCCCGGGCTGGCCTGTGCTGCACACCTGGGCTCCTGCCCCCGGGCTGGCCTGTGCTGCACACCTGGGCTCCTGCCCCCGGGCTGGCCTGTGCTGCACACCTGGGCTCCTGCCCCCGGGCTGGCCTGTGCTGCACACCTGGGCTCCTGCCCCCGGGCTGGCCTGTGCTGCACACCTGGGCTCCTGCCCCCGGGCTGGCCTGTGCTGCACACCTGGGCTCCTGTCCCCGGGCTGGCCTGTGCTGCACACCTGGGCTCCTGCCCCCGGGCTGGCCTGTGCTGCACACCTGGGCTCCTGCCCCCGGGCTGGCCTGTGCTGCACACCTGGGCTCCTGCCCCCGGGCTGGCCTGTGCTGCACACCTGGGCTCCTGCCCCCGGGCTGGCCTGTGCTGCACACCTGGGCTCCTGCCCCCGGGCTGGCCTGTGCTGCACACCTGGGCTCCTGCCCCCGGGCTGGCCTGTGCTGCATACCTGGGCTCCTGCCTCAGAGCTGTGTCCTCTGCTACTCCCCCCCTGGTCACCCCCACCAGAGTTTCCTGATTAACCATCGCTGTTTCCAGGAGGAGGTCAGCAGGGTCAAGTGCAGACAGTGGACGTTGCTGTTGGAGTTGAGCACCCGTCGGTGCTGCTGGAAGGTGGAGCTGGGGACTGCACCGCCACAGATGAGCCCACCCACCTCCAGCAAAACCCTGCTCCCTGGGCCACAAGGGCCCTGCAGGCAGCCCTTGTGCCTGGCCAAGGGCTCTGTGGAGTCTTGCTTTGCGTGTGCGTTGGGGGCAGGTGGGGAGGGTGGATCCCACTGCAACTGTTACCCGGGACGTGCCTCCTGTGTTCTTCCTTCTTGGGAATGAGAGGTCACCGTAGGTGCCCATTCTTCAGGGCCAGAGAATGTGACCCTGGTAGCCATGTGTGCCCTCAGCTCACCAGCTGCACGTGCCCAGTGCTGCTGGCTGCAACAGCCGTGGCCACAGAGGGGAGCCCAGGCATCTTGTCTGTGGCCTGTTGTGTCACTCTCTCCCTTTGCTCGACCGTGGCCCTCCTCCTGATGGATACTGAGCCCACACTGCCTGCTGGTCTCCTCTGTTCTCTGAGACCCCCAGGTGTGTCCGTCCCCAGGGCCTCTTGCCCTTCGCCCTGGGTCCCAGAGTAACAGGCCCTGCTGGGCCTCGGTGTGGGTAGGGAGGCTGCAGACAGCTGCAATCTCTGAGTGAGGCATCCAACAATACACCATGGAGCTTGCGCCTTCCTGGCCCTGGCACAGATCTCCAGGGTGCGCTCTCTGCCACGCCTCTGGCACATGAACAAGAGTGCCAGCAGCCAGCAGTGCCCGGGGAGGCCCAACTCCTCCTACGCCCGGGGAGATGTGGCTTTCCAAGCCGGCTGTGGCACCGTCTCCATCGGCAGGCCCTGGCTGCCAGCTCTGTGGAGCCCTGTGCTGCCCCCAGCCCCGGACATGCTGGCCACCTTTGTAAGAACAAGCACAGCCTGAGGCCAGGGACACACTGGCTGGGCCCTCTGAACGCCAACCAATTCCTTAGGAATCAGGGGCTTTGCCTTCCCGTGGCATTCAAGGAGCACAGTCCATGATGTAAAAATAATTGTTCCTGCCTGGCTGTGCTGAAGAGGGCCAGAAGAACAAACCCTTTGTCATCTCCAAACCCATCCCTTTCAAAACATGCAAGGACAGCAAAGTTGGTCCTGGTATGGCCAGAAATCAGCAGGCCCTCCTGGCAGTGACATTCAGAGCACAGGCGCCCTGGCACAGTGCCCTCCTGGGGCCCACCTTCCCTGACATGCGAGCTCATTGGCCTCACCAAGCCCCTTCCTCTAGAGACAGCTGTTAGGAGAGTGTGACACCACTGCCCTGGTGCAGACACACCCACCAGCTGACACAGTGGAGCCCTGAGGGAACCTGGGCACTCCCTTTTCCCTTGGGATGTGTAACTGTAACGCGTTTTCCTAGACCCCTAAGAGTCAGGTGCCCCCCAGGCCTGGGGCTTTTGTGCTTGACAGGTATCAGCCGCAACTCGATACAGCTCTGCACAGGCGGTACTGCTGCCATCCTGGAAGCCTGGGAGGCTGCCCCCTCAGCTGTGCAGAGGCTGCTGGCCTGGTGCTGGTCACAGCTCATGGGTATAGGGACGCTGGGCAGGTGCAGGCATCCATAGCTCGGACCCCTCTTCCTGCTGCATCTCACCACTTCTGGCATTCCTCCCTGGGCCCTGCCCTGTGCCGACTGCTCTCGGCTCACTGCACTGCGCCGCCGAGGCTCTGGCTTCCATCCAATATTTATGGTCCTCCCAGCCCTAATGCCCTTCTCTGTGCTCTGGCTCAGCCTCATGGCCCCAGAGTCTGACATTCTTTCCTTATCAGGTTTCCCGGGAAACAGAGCTGGGAAGTTAACCAGAGGTCAGATTCTGCTGCAGAGGGGCCAGGGGGCAAGCTTCATGTGCCCACAGCTAGCTGCACGCTGGTCATTAAGGAAATCCCCCATTAATGATTCAGTCCAAGGTTAGTGGTGTATCTGCAGCTAGGATTGTGCTGGGGTGCTGGGGCGGGGGGCCAGACTCCGCTTCCTCTTCCTCCAGGAGCACCCCTCCTGCAGCCTGAGGTCCCTTCACAGCTCAGTTGTGGGTTGTGACAAGTTCTGGCCAGGCAGCTCCTGAAGCCAGAGACATGCAGGCCGGGCTGGTGAGCTGCCCAGTTACTCCAGGGCTAGGCCCAAGCTCTCCAATGCAGGGCACTGATGTTGTGGGCCTGGGGGAGCCGCTTGGGGCAGGGAGCTGGGGTCACTGGGTGACAGCATAGGTCCACAGCCTGTACTGCCAGCCTGTGCCACATTGCTCACAAGCATAGCATAAGTGACTGGCAAGGCGAGGCCAGAAGGAGTTTGGCAGTTTCCTTTATAAAGCAGAGCTCTCCCACCTGCTGATTCTCTCCACAAATCCCTCCATGTCCAGGGCTGGGCCAGCCTGTGGCCAGGAACTGGGAGCTCCATGCAGGTCTCCTAGCAGGGCAGCCGGAACCCGAGTGCCAACCGGGTAGAGTCTGTGAGTCCTCTGAGTCCTGCCCCACACCTGCCTGAATGCCAACTGGTGGGGACTTTGGTCAGGAAAACTGAAGAACTGGGAACCATGGGACCACCCACCCCCTGGCCCTGTCGAATACTGGAGGAAAACAAGGAGAGGCCTAGGGTTTGGACACCTGTTTCCGTCCACTAGTACACAGCACAGGCCGCCCAAGCAGCGTCCAGGAGGAGGCGGCCAGCGATCTCCTCAGTCAGCCCCAACTAGAAAATCCAAAGGAGTTGGCCCAGCCCTGTTTATAGCTGGGAAAGTCTACACCAACGCCAACGCTCTGGAAATCTAGGAAATGATTCAGTTACTTTTGTCGATCCTTTTTTCAATAAGGAATCTAGAGGGAGTTCCCTGTTGCTGTCTTTAGGAAAATCCCTCAGCTGCTTTTATGGTTTTTACCTAATTTTAGAAATTTAGTTGGAAGGCAACAGAGATCCCCCATCTCCTGGTTCACTCCTCGGATGCTCTCAGTGGCCAAGGCTGGGCCACACCAGAGCCTGGAGTGGGAACTCCATCTGGGGCCCCTGCAGTCCCCAAGGGTGGCAGGGACCTACACGCACAAGCCAGGCTCTCCTGCCGCCCAGGCTGTGCCTGAGCGGGGAGGGGCATGAATGCCAGTACAGGACGCAGGGCCCGCGTGATGGCCTGACGCGCCGGCCCACAATCCCGGCCCCAGCGACTTTGTAATGAAGATCCTTATTTCATGGCTTATGCTCTCACTCACAGGTAGAATTAGAAAAGGGGAAGATGTGCCAGTGGCTTAAGCAGCGAGGTAGTTTCTGGGATCCTGGGAGGAGGGGCTGCTGTTAGGCCCTCCATCGGGGGCGGCGGGAGAAGCAGGTCTCTGCTCACACAGCCCCCATCCAGTCCTCCCGCAGTGCGGCCGGTTGGCTGGCGCCCACTTGGCTCCACAGCTCGAGGCCAGAAGGAGGGCTTGGAGTCAGGGTCATCTCGTGCCAAATCATTGCCAAGGGGAAGGTGCCAGTGAAAGCTGCCCCCTGAGGGAAGCAGTGCGTTACAGGGCTGTGCCAGGGGGTGAATTACCACGAACAGGTCGTCCCCTGCTCCGTGTGATACATCTGCTGCTGTCATTTCTGTGGGATTTTTGTTTTTGGTGAAGGTTTATTAGAAAGGCAGAATTACAGACAGAGAAGGAAAGAGAGAGATCTTCCATCCACTGGTCCACTTCCCAAATGACCACAGAGGCCAAGACTGGACCAGGCCAAAGCCCAAAGCCAGGAGCCTTTTCTGAATCTCAGATGTGGGTGCAGGGACCCAAGAACTTGGGTCACTTTCTGCTGCTTTCCAGGCATATCAGCAGGGAGTTGGGTCAGAGATGGAGCAGCTGGGACTCAAACCAGTGCGCGTGTGAGGTCCTCACACTGCAGGCTCGGCTGATGGTGAGTTATTATAACCACTATTTTCTAATGAGACGAGCAGCTGTGTGTCCCTGGGAGGAACGCGCAGTCGGCGTGCTTCATGTCAGAAGTTTACTGTTTCAAGTAGCCAAGATGTAAGAAGTCATGGATCAGAACAAGATTTGGCATTGGGTTTCTGGGGCTGGCACTGTGGTATGCCATCACCTGCTGCCTGCCATGCTGGCTGCCATATGGGCACCCGTTCCAGTCCCGGCCACTCCTCTTCTCACCCAGCTCCCTGCTAACGCACCTGGGAGAGCAGCAGAGGTCAGCTCAAGTCCTTGGGCCCCTGCACCCACATGGGAGACCTGGAAGAAGCTCCTGGCTTCAGCTTGGCCCAACCTGGCTGTTAGAGCCATCTAGGGAGTAAACTAGTGGGTAGAAGATCTCTGTTCCTTTGCCTCTCCATCTCTGTAACTCCCCCTTTCAAATAAAATAAAATAAAATAAAATAAAATAAATCTCTGGGGAAAACAAAGCTGCCAGGAGTCCTTTGTTACCCTTGCCTGTCTTGTCACCTGGGACTGAGTGTCACACCCTTGCCTGGCAGCTGGGAGGGAAGGTGCAGAGGGTTGCTGGTGACGGCTCCCTCCTGGCCATCGCAGAGCCGTGGCTCATGTGGGCACCCCCGCTGTGCTCACACTCCGCTCATGAATGTCATAGTTTGCATCCACAACAGCCAGGGCTGGGCCCGGGGGAGCCAGGAGCCCTGGGTCTCGCATGGAGGTGGCAGGAGCCCAGCACTAGGCTCACTCCTGCTGCTTTTCCTAGGCTGGCAGCAGGATCAGCGGTGGAGTGGCCGGGAGCTAGCTCCCATGTGGGATGCTGGCATGACAGGCTGTGCCACAACACTGGTCCCTACCAGCTTTATTTCTAAAATACCTTAAGTGAAAAAAATAGGAATAAAGGGAAAATGCCAGAAGTGAAGGCTGGGGACAGTCAAGTCACAGCTTTGGCTGATGTGGAGAGAATCAGCATTGGGAACAGGTTGTGTCTCAACAGCGCCATTGGGGAGCCAGCCACCGCTGCTGTTACTGCCCACTCTGGGGCTGGCAGCAGATGTGCGTGGTGAGAGCAGGAAGACCAACAGGCCAGCGAAGCAGGCGGGAGGAACTTGGCCACAGCCACTAAGGAAGGGGTGGGGCGAAGCGAGCTCAGCAGGAACACAGCCCAGGAGGCAGCACGCTCGGAGAGGGCCTCCCCCTGCTGCTGAGACCCAGCACTGTGCAGCCCACTGCCCCGACCTCCGTCAGCTTGCTGTCATCCTCAGAGCACCTGTGGTCCCGTAACACGTGCAAGCTGAACTCTAGAGGGGCTGCCTTCGCTCACATGTTGCCAACACACCACAAGTTCCTAGCAGGAGGGAGCATGAGTCCAAGGGTGTTACTAGACACCGTGGTCACATCGCAAGCAGGTGAAGAGGACACTTGGCCTTCCAGTATGCTGCTTGCAGAAAATGTGGGCTAGCCAGCTGAACCACCATTTGCAAGGCCAGCATTCCAGTTTGAGTCCCAGCTGTCCTGGTTCTGATCCAGCTCCCTGCTAATGCACCTCGCAAGTCCCAGGTGCTCGGGCCCCTCCCACCCATGTGGACAGCAGCATGGAGGTCCAGGCTCCTGGCTTTGGTGTAGCCTGGCCTGGCTGCTGTGGCCGCTTGGGGAGTACACCAGCTCTCGCTCTCTCTCTATCTCTCTCTCTCTCTGCCTTTCAATTAAATGCATCAATCTTTAAATAAGTAAATACCGATTAAACAAGTAGCCATGCTATGATTATAGCACTGGGAAGGTGTTCGCTTCTGAAAGGTCAGGAGCTTGGCGCAGGGGTTGGGCGGGGGGAGGGAGCAGGGTGGAAGTTCATCAGGGTTCGACTTTACACAAACACACACAGCCCCAGCTGCTGCAGTGTGAGCTCCGCGATGCAGGCAGAGCCACCCCCTCCCCCGACTCACGTGGTGGCCGACTGTGTCCTCCCAGGCATCCTACCGGCCGCTGCTGAAGCAGGTGGTGGAGGAGATCTTCCATCCCGAGAAGCCGGATCCCACGGACATTGAGCACGTGTCATCGGGCCTCACCGACCTCCTGAAAACGGGGTTCAGCATGTTCATGAAGGTACAGTGATGGTGGAGGGGGCGTCCCCGGGGTAACGCTGGGTACCTTGAGTCTTTGTGTTTCACTTGGATTACAAGCAGTCTCATCCAGCTTCCACCCTGCCCATGGCGGGCATCTCTGATCAGGGGCAGGCAGCAGGCAGCAGGTGATGGGCACAAGGCAGACCAGGGCAGCACAGTTAAACACTGCTCTGTGCACCCCGTGTTCACTCCTGACATGAGCCGTCTGTGTGCCACTCCCAGGCGCTCTGCGCCTAAAACACTGTGTGGGGCTGACACTGTCCCCGAATCCGTGGGAAAATGGGCCCTCACACACGCCTCAGGACAAGTGCTGGATCGCTCCGAATAGTAACCTCTGGGCTAGGTCAGGATCGCCACACAGCCCTGCCAGGACACAGTGTGGCATGTCCTGGCTGCTAGCTCTGCTGTGTCAAACAGATGTAAACACGGCTACAGGCTGACCCTGCCCGGCAGTGCAGCGGTCTCAGCTGCCAGGCACTCGAAAGTCACAGAACGTCTCGGTGGCTTCAGAGCGTCTTTGAAATTGTGAATGAAAGTCTACAATAATCCTGACCTTTCCAAGTTCAGCAAATGTGTATTCCAGGAAAAACTTGTCTACCCCGGATGCCCGAGGACACACGCCAGACAGGCAGACTCCTGCCCAAGCAGTGAAATGCTGGCCCGGCCACATGGCTCTCCTTCCTGCGGGACCTGCCTGCTGCTGGCTGTGGCACTGCCAACCACTGCCTCAACATTCCCACCTTTTTTTTTTAAGCAAGTGTAGTTCAACTTTCTGAGCGTGACCAGGGGCTCCTGGTTGAATGTATCTAACCCAAGATCTGTTCAGCAATTCCCTGTTCCCAAGCAGCTCTTGATGGCAGCTCTCTTCCTTTAAAAAAAAAGGAAAAGAAAGAGAAAAAGAAGAAAAGGTGAATTTCATTTATTTGAAGGCAGAAGTCATGGAGGAGAGGAAGAGATCTTCCATCTGCTGGCTCACTCACCACATAGCCACAATAGGCCAGGTTGGGACCAGGCCAAAGCCAGAGGCCAGGAGCTTCATCCGGGTAACCCGCCGGGGTGCAGGGGCCCGAGCAGCTGAGCCGTCTGCTTTCCCAGGTGCAGTAACAGAGAGCTGGATAGGAAGTGGAGCGAGCTGGACGTGGTTTCAGCTTTGTCCCTTGGGCATGCTCATCCTCATCCACTACCTTGGACTAACTCCTGGGGAGAGACCAAGATGGGCCACAGGGTGGTCCCGAGGCCTGAGCAACCTGTCCCAAACAGGGCTGCCGCATTGCCTTGTGCCGCAGTGTGTGACCGAGGGTGTGGGCTGACACCTGTTGCCTCAGAGGGATCTCCTTGGGGCCCTCTGATGAGCGCTCCCCGGGAAAAGCTGGCCCCAGCTCAGGGTTCTGTGAGCAGTGACGTTTGAGGAACCCCAGGGCCACCCAGCCCAGGGCTGCTGCTTCCTGGGCCATGTCCCAGCACCCGTGGTGTTCTGAAGCTCATGGCACAAAGCTCATCAGGAGCAGAAATGTTTTGAATTCTACACAGGCAAAAGGCTCTACTGAGCAAGCATGAAAGACGTGTGTTATTGAAACACCGTGACTGCAGTTTGGTGCTGGGATATTTAGCACCCGGTACACTTGGATTTTCATTCCATATCATTCCATTCCCCCTGAACTTTCTGGAGTTTCTTGGAAAAGAGAAGGGGAGACCCATACCTTGTTTCCTTACCCCACTCCAGGAAGTCAGATTTTTAACTAAAGTGGCCTTTGCCCCAGAAGGAGTTCCTGGGCCGCCACCTGTTGCTGTGGCTCCTACCATTCAATCCTGCAGAGGCAGCGCTCTGAGAAAATGGCCTCCCTCCAGCCTCACCCCTGCTGGAGGCTGAGCTCAGGGAGGTTGACAAGGGTGGGGCTGAGACGAAGGAACATGTGTTTCCTGGCAGCTGTCGGGATCCGTGCCTGCTCCAAGTTGCCAGGGCCCTCACTGCGCCCCAGGCTGAGCTGCTCCCCCAGCACCCCTCGGAGCCTTGGCACTGGCTGGCTCTCCTGCTCACCGCACAGAAAGTGCCATCTGGCCCATGTGCTCAGGTCTGAATAGAACCAGGATGACTCTCTATAGAGACCCAGCCAGGAGGACCTGCAGGGACCGACTCCCAAGGGCCCCTCCACTGCACAGAGTGAGGGGCGCATGGAGTGGACAGAGATACAGGGGTCTCACAGGCATGGTCACTTTTGGTGATGGATGCACCTGCTGGTGTTTGCGTGCGCAGAGCCAGCACATGCAAGGGCAGCATGCCACCAACAACAAGCACCATGGGCTGAGAACATACCCTAATGAGGATCCCTGGTGGGTGATCTCAGCCATATCAGGTGTGAGGCACCCCAGGGGCCCCCACTTTCTGACCCCGGCCACGTTTTGGTTTTCAGGTGAGCCGGCCACACCCCAACGACCACCCCCTCCTGATCCTCTTCGTGGTGGGCGGCGTCACAGTCTCCGAGGCCAAAATGGTCAAAGATCTGGTGGCGTCCCTGAAGCCCGGACACCAGGTACGCAACTCCTGTCGGCCATGGGCACCGGGGCCCAGCCCGGGACCCTGCATGGGGTCTGAAGGGACATGCTACCCTCAAAAGGCCTTGTGGGCAGGGGGCCCCCAGGGGCATCCCCCAACACACCAGGGCCTGGAAGGTAGGAAACCCCTTGGGTAATGAAGTGCTGACTGGAGTCCACAGTGTACGCCCAGCAGGTAGTGGGGCCCCAGCCACACACCCACCCGGAGCCCTACCCTACCAGAGAACCCAGACACCTGCTTGTGCCTGCACACCTGGTTGCTCGTGGCACGCAGAACCAAATGGCATGGGCAGCAGCCCCCTTCAGCCCCTCAGAGGAGCAGGGGCCATGGCTGGGGTCAGATCCCTTGGCACAACACCATCGAGCATGGCTCTGCAGCCCAGTGGCTGGCGCGGCCTCTCCAGGGCCCCAGGCTCCAGTCTCAGCCATCCCCAGAGCACTCTGGGTGAAGTCCAGCAGCCACAGTCCCACTGCCCCTCAGGCCGAGCTTCACAGACATGTCCCTCCATCTCCCAGCTTCCTCACTGAAGCTGCTGCCCTCAGCCTTCTGCTGGCTGTGCCCTAGCCGTGCCCCCCACCAGGGCTGCTCTTGCTCGGAGCTTTGCCATCTGACAGCTGGGATCAGCTTCCCTCATGAGCCCGGGCTGTCTGTCCCCTGCTGGCAGGTGATCGTGCTGTCCACTCGGCTCCTGAAGCCTCTGAGCATTCCTGAGTTGTTGTTCGCAACTGACCGGCTGCACCCAGACCTTGGCTTCTGACCTCTGCAAGGGAGATGGGGACAGCCCGACACCACCGTCGCCGCTGCTAACTGTGGGCTTGGCCAAATTTGCTGGAAGCCACGCAGCGAGGGACTTCACTCAGATGATTCATATTATATTATAAATTACAACAACAAAAAAGTACTCCTTTTTCCAAAGATGCCAGGTTGTCCTTCAGCCGCATTCACTGTCACTCCATTATCCTCTGTGAACCTTGCCCACTCCACCTGCGAGGTCCCGACTTCAGTTAGAGTCTGCTTCCCACCGCTGTCTGTACCAGCAGGCGCTCTGGGAGAGTCAGACCTGCTGTAAACCGACTGTGGGCCCAGCCAGCCTCCCCTGCAGCCAGCCCATGCTGTCACGGGTGGACGGCACAGGCAGGGCCTACCCCTGGGGGCTGAGTCTGCGGGCTGCGCTGGCCCAGCCTGCCCAGCCTGGGCAGGGCCTCCAGGCGCTGAGAGCTGAGCCGGAGACTGGCCTCGCCTGGAGTCCCAATGCCAGGAGCTCCAGCAGGAGTTGGGGTTCCTGTTGTCCAGGTTGGAACCACGCCTCGGGGCCTTGGTGATCGGGCCTGTCCATCGAAGCATCGCACTTTCTTTTTCCCCACGTCTAAGTCCTCTTCCCACCAAGTGAGACCGCAGAGTGGTTCCAAAGAGAGAGCTGAGCTGGACTGAGACGGTGCATGGGTGTTCGGTTGGCAAGAGCTTCTGGCACCTCTGAGCGATGTTGGGCAGCGGTAGACTGGGCTGAAAAATGGCTTCACTTGTGCGGTCATGGGCAGAGGAAATAAAATGCCAGGCAAAGGACCCACAAGTCTCTGCTTCTAGTTCCCTGAAAAACTTTATCATTTCACAAAACAAACAAACAAAAAACCGGGAGGCTGGTCTCTGGGAAGCATCTGGGAGGGAGCAGGCTCTCACCAACAGCCTTGGCCCTGCCCCGCCCCATCTTTCTGCAGTGCAGTAGTCCAGACCTCTGAAGCTGCCCCGCTCTGCCCCTCTAAAAGCCTGACTTTTTTAAAAAAAAAAAAAATTATTTCTTTTCTTTGGAGAGGAAGATCAGATTTATGGAGAGGAGAGGCAGAAAGATCTTCCATTCCCTGATTTACTCCCCAAGTGGCTACAACGGCCAGAGGGAGCTGCACCGATCGGGAGCCAGGAGCTCCTTCTGGGTCTCCCACACGGACACAGGCTCCCAGGCTTTGGGCTGTCCTCTGCTGCTTTCCAGGCCACAGGCAGGGAGCTGGATAGGAAGTGCAGCAGCCAGGACATGAACCAGCACTCAGGGAATCCTAGCGCTGCAAGGAGAGGGTTAGCCAGCTGAACCATTCCACACATTGCTTTCTAAAATTTAAAAATAAGTGACTTGTCATGTGACTTGAGTCTGCATTCATTCATTCACTCACTCATTCCCAATTTAGAGGGAGTGCTGGCAAAGCCACAGGTGCCCTGCTGAGCCACCTGGTGAGTGAGCCAGACGTGCCTCTGGCCCAGTGACACTGCTGGAGTGAGCCATGTGTAATGGCCTGGTGTCTACACAAACCTGACTAACCAACCCCACACCTGGGAATGTGAAAGCTGGGGCTAATACCGTGGTACAGCACGTGAAGCATCCCATCTGAGCGCCACTTCAAGTCCTGGCCGCTCCACTCCCGAACCAGCTCCCTGCTGCTGTCCTAGGAAAGGCGTGGCCAAGTGCTCGGGCTGGAGGAGGCCTTAGCACCAGTGGGGAGTGAAACAGTGGATGGGAGATCTCTCTCTCTTTCTGTTCCTCTCTCTGTAGCTCTTTCAAATAAATCAGTCTTTTTCAAAAAGAGCAAGGAAAGCCAGGGCTTGGCAAGTGCCCCCTCCGGGAAGGCTGGCAGAGAGCATGCCTCCCGCTCTGCCCTGTGTGTCGTTCAGGTGTGTTTTTAAAGGAAACATCTAATTATGTGTTATTGTGTGACCTTCCCTGTGGCTTTGCAGTCTAGTCTTCTTAAGGAGTGAGAGGCAGACTCCTCGTGGAGAGTAACAAGAGCAGACGTGATCCTGGGCATTCTTGGGCAGCAGTCACCAGGTCCTGGAGGCGCCCAAGGGCCCGAGGCCGCGGGGTGGGAGAAGCACTACAGGCCTGGCCTGCGAGCGTCCATTTCCATCTCTGCGGCTGCTGAGTGGAGGAGCTGAGGCAGGCTGGCAAGTCGGGGAGTCGGGGAGAGGTTGGGGAGAACAGGAAAGAAAGCGCAGGTTTGAATCAGAAGGAGGGAGGCACGGGATAGAGCGCTGCTGGTTCCATGTCAAACACTTGCAATGGTTGGCATGCCACAAAGCCTGAGGCAGGGCGCCCCCGCTCCAGAACCCCAGGCTATGTGTTTGCCAAGCAAGGGGCCTGCTGAAGGGTAGGCCAGGCGCTCCTCTTTGCTGTGAAGAAGTGGGGTTAGGGATAGCACAGGATCGCTACCACTGCCCGGAGCACTGGGGATGCGGCCAAGCATCGGAGGCACATCCATGCAGCCTGCAGGTGTCAGGGTGCCTACCTCCTGGAAAACTGGCCGTGGAGCTCACAGGTGGTGCCCTGGACAAGTGGGTTTTTACTGACTGGACTGGCACATCTTCTGCCCCGACCCTCACAGGCCTCCATGCAAATACAGCTGAGAGGAGTATATGTCATGGAGCCCACTTCCTGCAATGCCCAATGCCACCCAGCGGGTTCCTCACAGTGGGGTGCAAGTCACAGGGATTCCTTAGAGCTCCCCTAGAAACCACTGCCATTCACTCGCCCTGCATTCCAGAGAACGTCCCAGCATTGCCAAGGCTGCCTGCTGCCCAGCACTGCTTGGCCAGGATTTCAGTCGGATGGCAGAGGCACGGTGCCATACGATAAAGATGCATAGGGGCTGGCATCCTGAGCACCTCTCAAATTTAGGACACTGCTGAGGACAAGGAGAAAGAACTTTCTGGAAACAACTCCAGTCAGACCTTAAAAGGGTACAGGCGGGCTAGCTTTGCAGGATTGTCCATTTCCAGATGTCTCAGTCTTTGTGGGCCACTCCCCAGGCAATGCCTCTTCCATCTGTAGAGCTTGCTAGGTCCTGTTCCCAATGGCCGGTGGGAGGGTTCCACCGGCGGGCCTCTGGCAGTGTGCTAGCCCCCCAGGGATGAGGACTGTCCCCTAGCACGCAGGGCTCCTTGTGAGTCCGCCCACGGCTGGGGCAGTGGCTGGTTTTGTTTGGGGGCTAGAAGGAAACCAGAAAGCCAGACAGGCAGGCCAAATGGCTGCTCAGGGCAGGGCTGTCTGCACACACATCACCGCGGGCCATGCCAGGCTGTGGGCAGCGGGCGGCTGGTGGCCATAGCAGATGTGTCCAGAGCGGGCAGGGGAGCAGAGGGAGGTGGAGGAAGCAGCTTGCGGAACAGCCAGGGCAGGGAGGCCAGTATGGGCTAGAGTGTGGGGCACTCCCCCAAAGGGCCCGGAGGCCCAAGCCAGGGCTAGGCTGGGGCATCAACCAGGCCTTGGACCAGGATCCAGGCTGGGGCATCGTCCAGGCTCCGGGCCAGGGTCCAGGCTGGGGCATCGTCCTGGCCGGCGGCCGGGGTCCTGGATGGGTGCTCAGGTGAGCCACAGCGATGAGGTTTGCAGGTGCAGTAATTATCAAGTCAAGTCAGCCAGAGGCGGGAGGCAGAACCTGGGCTTGGGCTCTTCCAATAGCCTCTTCTGCTGCCTCCTGCCCCCTCTCTCCCTCACCAGTGGCCTTGAACAAGCCACCTTCTCTGCAGACTTGCAGGGTGGGTGTGAAGGGAAGGGAGGCAGACGCTGCTGGACTCGCCTAGTGCTTTGCCCACACCGGGTCCAGGACCCTCCCCAGAGGGGTGGGGCAGGGGAGATCCTCGAGGCTGAGCATCCTTTGGGTGCTGGTCTGTGCCCTTAAGATGAGTTCGTCTTATATTAGCATCCTGCGTCCCTGCCTGCAGGCAAGGTTGGAACAGCTTCCGGGGCATGGCCAGTCAGGCCATCTACTCCCTGGGAGAGCTGAAGACCAGCCAGCAAACCGCAGCAGACCCGCAGCCGCAGCAGCTTGGCCTGCCAAGCCCCCACCGCCCAATGTTTGTAGGGACGTCTTGGAGCCACTGCCTGCAATGCCAACATCTCAGAATGGCACCAGTTGTTCCATTTCCAGTCCGGCTCCCTGCTAATGCACCTAGCATGGTGGCAGAAGCAAGAAACCCAGATGGAGTTCTAGGTTTCTGGATCCAGCCTGGTCCAGCCCTGTGGCTGTGGCCGTTTGGAGAGCGAGCCAGGAGATGGAAGATTCTTTCTCCTTCTCTCTCTCCAGTAAAGCAAGTAAATCTTTCAAGAGAAAAAAAGTATTTGGAGCCATCATTGTGGCATAGTAGGTTAAACCTCTTCCTGTGGCCTAGATATCCCATATGGGCGCCAGTTCAAGTCCCAGCCACTGCACTTTGAATCTGCTAATGTGCCTAGGGAAGCAGCACAAGAAGGCCCAAATCCCTGGACCCCTGCATTCGTGCTGGAGGCCTGCAAGCTCCTGGCTTTGGACGAGCCCAGCTCTGGCCATTGCAGTGTCTGGGGAGTAAACCAGCAGATGGAAGATCTGCTTCTCTTACTCTGCCTTTCAAGTTAAAATAAATGTAATAGATGTATATATATTAAAGCCATAAGAGGACACTGCACTGCTGATTGTAGCCCTTTGAGTAAACACTCCTGAAGACACGGAGCCGCAGCATGGGCCCCCTCCCCCGCAGGCCTTCAGCAAGCCGCCTCACTGGTCCTGGAAGCCTGCTCCCCGCTGCACGCTGGGGCCAATCCCATCCCAAGCTGGTGGCAGGGGCAAGGCCTACCCCAGTGTGCACAGCGGCCACCAGGGACAAAGCAGCACTCGTCTGGGTCAGACCTGGGCCCTTTTTAAAAAGATTTATTGTACATAAAATAAATTAATTACAGTTGAAGCCACAGCACAAGTGGCTCTTTAAAGTGCATCTGTGTAGGTCTGGGAGCAGCCCCACATCCGCCAGCTGTGTGGGGTGGTGGTCAGCAGGCCCGGGAGGCAGGCTGCGGTCTGCACCAGGAGCCACCACAGAAACCACACTGGGAATGACAAGGCGTGCTTGTCCGCACTGCTGGCCGATACTCGCCACCGACTGGAGCGTTCGGGTCCACAGACCCAAGTCCAGCACGCTGACACTGCCCTTCCAGGATCAGGAGCCGGGAGCTGTCAGCCACGAACCTGACCTGCAGTGGGGGCCGCTCCTCCCTGTTCCTAGAGAAACTCGGGTTATCCTTCCAGTTGGAGAACACATCCCACAGAGAGCACAAGTCCCAACCATCAAATCACCCCCAGAGAGAAAAGCAGTTCTTTCTGGAGAGAAAAATGAAAAAGAGAAAAAGGAAGAGAGCCTGTGGATAAGGCTTGTGCTCTGTTGGTCCCACCGGAAGTCACGTGGGCATATCTGGTGCGAGTACAGCTGCCTGCCACAAGACCAGACATGGAAGCAAGCATGTGCCTGTGGCCGCAGCGTCCACGTGGCAGACCCAGCGAGGGACTCAGCCGGCACCCCTGCGCCCCATGGCAGTTCCGCAGGTGCCCCGACCCGGGTCAGATGGAGGTGACTGTCCTCACTTTGGCAGAAAGCGCCTGCTTGAACCTGCGCTTCAGGTCCTGCATGTTGGGCGACTTGGGCCTGGGGATGAGAGAGGCCCTCCGTTTCTCGGGCATGCTGCCCGGCTGCTGCTTCGGGCTCACTGCTTTGCACAGGACGTGGAAGGCGTTGTAGACGTCATTGTAGTTCTCGCTGACGGACACCTCGTAGAACGGGCAGCCCAGCACGCCGGCCAGCTGCAGGCCCAGCTGAGGGTCCACCTGTTTGATGTGCAGCAGGTCAGCCTTGTTGGCCACCAGCGCCATGGGCAGCCGGGCGCCCAGGTGGAGCTGCCGCACGTGCTGGTGGAGCTGGCCGATGAGCTCGTAGCTCTTGTGGTCGGTGATGGAGAAAACAATGACCACGGCGTCTGCCCAGCGGATGCACCGGTTCAGCTGCTCGCT